GTTGGAACCCTATGTGGGGATTGTGAACCCTTTTTCTTGAGATTATGCAATTATGATTTTATGATTATTTCTTCTACTTGTTATGATTGTTAGTGCATGAACTTGATCAATTTATGTGCTTTATCTGTGATTATTGGGATTGACTCGACAGAGCTATTTTGATAATTAGACGGTAAGTAGAAGAGCCTTCGAGTAGTTTTCACCGGATGAGTGTGTCAATTGCATGTGGTGTCGTAGACATACAGATATCACCTTAGGTAGCCATTTACGAGACTTGTTAGTTAATGCTTTATTCATAATTGATTTGCATAGACATATAGTGAATAGTTTATGAATAATAGACTCATAATACACGCGACAGCGGGTTATGAGTAAATTAGTGTCTCGGGTTAATAATCATGAATCATATATTTCATAATTGAGGGGTTTTGGGTGAGCAATTCTTGCATAGGGGGAAGATAAAATCCTAGGTCCGTTTTTATATTGATATTTTCTCGTATTTATTTGCTTTCATAATTAGTTTAATTATTTAGTTGATTAAATTTGACAAACTTGCGTAGGCTGGATAAGAATCATAGTTGTTAGAATTTGGTACTTAGGATTAGATAATTTGAGTATTCCCTGTGGGATCGACATCCGACTCTCACGAGTCCACTTTTACTACTTGTTTGCGATACGTGCACTTGCGTGTTAGGTATTTAGCACCCAACAAGTTTTTGGCGCCGTTGCCGGGGATTACGACTATATTATCTATTTATTCTAATATCAAATTTAAGCAATTTTTCTTACTTCAGCCGTTTTATTTATTTTATTTTATAATTTTATTTGCTTATTTTATTTTAATTATTTTTGTTTAGGTACTTTTTATGCGAATGGAAGAAGAGAATAATCGTAGGGGAGATGACCAAGGGCGCTTACCGAATGCGGCAGGAGAGATCGTCAACGAGCAAGAGCAACGTCAGCTAATTAATCCACCACCTCGTCAACGAGCATTGCATGAGTACACCGTTCCAACACTCAATGGGTTTCAATCAAGCATCCAGCAGCCCCCCATTGAAGCCAACAATTTCGAAATTCGAGCGGGACTCCTCACTATGCTCCAAAACAATGGGTTGTTCAGCGGATTAGCTCATGAAGATCCGCACCTCCACTTGGTCAATTTTCTCGAAACGTGTGATTCGCACAAGATGAATGGAGTATCACCCGAAGCACTGCAACTCCGCCTGTTCAAGCACTCTTTACAAGGAGCAGCCCGAGAATGGTTGCAAACTCGTGCACCGCACTCCATCTCCTCTTGGCCCCAGCTAGCACAACTCTTCATGAATACATACAACTCCCCAATCAAAACTGAGAGAATCCGGCGAGAAATTCAAAACTTCATACAAGAAGCCGGTGAAGCATTATTCGAGACGTGGGAGCGGTTCAAACAATTAATTCGGAGATGCCCGAATCACGGTCTTCAAGAGTGGCGGCAACTGCAAATATTTTATGATGGATTGCAAGATAATTCGAGAACGGTGCTCGATTCAGCAGCTGGCGGTATGTACATGAGCTTGACATATGATGAAGCTTACGAACTTTTGGAGCGGATCGCAAGGAACTAATACATGCGGGCATCGGACCGGTCAAATAGCGGAGCAGTCAAGACGGGCGGAATTTTGGAGTTAGATGGAGTCACCACAATCACGGCCCAATTGGAGAAGCTATCGAAGCAAGTGGCGGCTTTGCAGGCTCAGCAAGTCCACGCAGTCCAAGTTCCCGACCAACGCATAGAAGAAACGGAGTCTCTGAATTATGTGCATGACACCAACCGACAACAGAGGAACCCGTACCCCAACACGTACAATCCCGGATGGAAGGATCACCCCAACTTTGGATGGGGAGGAAATCAGCAAGGACAAAGGCAAGCACCACCTCAAGCTCCACCCCAAGGAGTTGACCTCGCTGACATCTTAGAAAAATTCATGACGGCGACTCAAGCATCCATTCGGAACCTTGAGACACAAATGGGGCAACTTGCAACCCAACTAAACGCGAGGCCGTCGGGAGCACTGCCGTCGAATACGGAAGATCCTCGAAAAAGCAACATCGAGCAGTGCAATGCAGTGAGTTTGCGAAATGGGAGGCAATTAGAGGAAGTTCCTAAAAAGTCCGTTGCACCACCGCCTATTGTAGAGGAGCCCAAGGAAAAAACCGAGGTCGGGCCAAGCAACACAAAGATCACAGTAAGTGAACCTACTCCCAAGGTACCTTTCCCTCAACGTTTTCAAAACTCTAAGCTTGATATGCAATTTCAGTCATTTTTGGATTATCTTAAAAAGTTGCATGTTAATATTCCTTTTGTTGAGGCACTTAAGCATATGCCTAATTGGGTTAAGTTTATAAAAGAACTTGTATCGAAGAAGATGAGGCTTCCGGAGTGTGCAGCAATAATAGACTTAAATGAGCAAAGTAGTGCTATCCTTTCAAATAAAATCCCACCGAAACTTAGAGATCCGGGGAGTTGTACCATTCCATGCACAATAGGTACTAGGTATTTTGGGCGGGCGTTGTGTGATCAAGGGGCGAGCGTAAATTTAATGCCTTTATCGATTTATGAGAAATTGAACTTAGGAGAAATTAAGCCCACTTCTGTGACCTTGCAGCTAGCCGATAGATCTTTTACTCACCCTTTAGGTATAGTGGAGGATGTATTGGTCAAGGTAGATAAGTTCATACTCCCGGCCGATTTTCTAGTACTAGACATAGAGGAAGATGAAAATATTCCCCTTATCTTAGGACGCCCCTTCTTAGCAACCGGTAGATCAATTATTGATGTAGGAAAGAGAGAGCTAAGAATGAGTGTGGGGGAAGAAACAGTGATCTTCAAGGTGTACCGGGTGGATGAAAAGCCTATTACGGCTAATGGATGTTATCTTCTTGATGAGGTAAGTGATTCTAAACTTTTTCCTGTTAAATTACATGATTTAAATTTTTTTGTGGATACTAATGTGCATGTAGGAGAACAAAAGAAAAAAGTTGAGTTGGTTACAACACCTACTCAAAACACCGTGATAAAAGACGATGTTGGCAAGCCTCATGACATCAAGAAGATTAAATTCAAGGGCATTCCTAAGCGAACCAATCGAAAGAAGACTCGGATCAACCCATTTATTCAAGACTTTCTCCAAAAGGAAGTAAGGAGATGGGTTCAAAAGCTAAGGAATTGAAGAGCAAAAACAAAGTCTGGCTGAAGACTTTAAACTTAGCGCTTCTCGGGAGGCAACCCGAGCTTTATTGTTTTTCGTATTTTTATTTAATTTTTCGTTTCGTTTTTAATATCATAAGCATGCATTCTAATTTATTATTTGAATTTTACTTTTCAGGGTCGAAAACGTGATCGAGGGTCGAGTCAGCTGTCCAGTTCGAAAAAAAAAAAAAAAAAAAAATATTTTGCAGCACTGGATTTGAGACGGCCGTCCGAAAACAAGGCACAAAACCGGGACGGCCGTCCCAAAAACAGTACCGGGGCAGCAATCCTCAGACGGCCGTCCGAAAACAAGGTATAAAACCCGGACGGCCGTCCCTAAAACAGAAACGGACCAGCACATCTCGGACGGCCGTCCGAGAAATAGGCAAAAAGATGGGACGGCCGTCCGAACTCAACAGGGGGTGTTTTAAATTTTCAAAAATTAGATTTTTCCCCCCATTATTTCTTAAACCCTCCTCTTTCGTCCTCTCTAACTCCACACACAAATTTTCGAATTTTTTCGAATTTCTCTTCAAAAAAAAAAAAAAAAAAAAAATTCTTCGATTCCACACACATAATTCACTCACACACTCTCCGATTCTTATTTTGTCTTGGTATTGACAAGGAGGCTAGAGAATCAAACCAACCTCTCCAAAATTTACTCATTCAAGGCACGCCCACAAGGTGTTCGACAAATTGCTCCAACCAAGTTTGGGGGTCGATTTTCGTCAAATTTTTTCCGGCACCCATTCTTGAGCCCGTACCCGAGCTTTCCGATGAGGACGAGCGTGAGAGAGCGAGAGAGGAGCATCCCGATCACACCGACTCCGAATTTGTGCTAAATCAGGTGTTTTCTATCCTTTAAACTTTGTGCTAATTTCGTTGAGGGCAACGAAAATTTTAAGTTTGGGGGTGAAAACCATGTTTTCGTGCTTATTTGTTTTAGTTTGCATGCATTAGGTTTTATTCGTTTTTATTGTTTTTCTCGTTTTTCCGAAAAAAAAAAAAAAAAAAAAAAAAGAAGAAAAAAAAAAAAAAAAAAAAATTCGATGCATCGATGAATTATGATGATGGGAGATGGTCAATGTTTGATGAGGAAATTGCTTGCTTTATGTGATAAGGAATTAGTATTTGTTTAGCTTTCGATTCAACGGAACGTAGAAGTGAATTATTGCTAGGAATCACACCTTATGCATTGCTTTGGTTGAATGTTTTGCATTTTAAATTTGGAATTTATTTGTGCTCGATCATGCTTTGTTCGGTTTTAAATCTCACCTTAAGACATTTATGATACGAAGTGTTGGGTAGTAAGCGATTTGGGATGTGATTTGGGCCTTCTTTGAACCGTTTGAGCCTTTCAAGCCTACCTTTAAATTTTTATCCTTAGAACCTTGATTTGAGCCTCGGTGAAAAAAAGCGTGTTCTTTCTTTTAGCCAATATGTGGAAGGTAGAAAAGTGGAGATTTTTGAATAATTATCCCTTGGAGTCGGTAGAAATGTTTTATAAGATCTTTCTTCTTCTTCGAAAAAAAAACCCCCTATGTTATGAAAAAAATGCATAAAATCCCCTTTGTAGTTAACGGGGTTAACTTTTAATGGAAAAAGGAATTTCGTGCAAAATAAAATGAAACACAAGGGGTTTTAACCGGAAAAAAAAAAAAAAAAAAAAAACCAGAGGGATTGGGCGCTAGTTTTCCTTAACACATGGGGGTTTAATGCTGTTAACCCGGGTTATGTCTATTAAACCCAAATAAATAAAGCCGAAACAACAAATGTAAGACATATAAATAAAATGTATCACCAAAATGATAGAGATTATCCACATTTTCTTTGAAAATAATCAACACAATATTATTCAATTGCATTACACAATTAAGAGATTCTAGTAAGTTCTAACGACAATTGCTAATAATTCTGGCCTTTTATTAGAACTTTTTATCAAAAAATTACGCTGAATCGATACTCTTCACGATCTCCTACGGTTAAGCGACGAGCCCCCGATTCAATAACCATTGTTCCATCTTCACTAGCTCTTGCAAAGTGCTGACATGGATTTATTTCAAATTCGACATTAGTCTTCTCCTTTGCGTTCAACCTCACTGTCTGAAACCCGACCAACTGTTTCACGGGACTCCCATTACCAGCTTCATCGTGCCTTACGAATAGCAAAACCGAGTGTTTACCGGCCATATCACCTTCATTCTTAACGCTAACAATAGCTAAAAACTTCGCCTCCTCACATGACTTTGTAATAATATCCGAAACCGGAACGTATTCTGGGTTTCTTTCTGTGGTTGATAATCTCTTGAGATCGAGCTTGCTTCGGCTGACATAAACAAACTTGTAAGAAAATTTTGAGTAGCTAAGACCGTAGCCGAATTCGAAAACCTTTTCGCCTTGGTAAAATCTATATGTTCGCCCGGGAAAGCCAGACCATGGGTCGGGCCTCATTCTCATATCAGTCATTGGTACTTCGATGAAATCTTTCGGATACCAAGTTATAGGCAGCCTTCCTCCTGAAAACAATTACATCAACTAATTATAGTGATAATAAATACGAGCTAATAGCACAGACCTCCTTGTGTTATTTCTAGTTGCTGAAAAACCCCTTGTGCTAAAAAAATTAGCAAGAAGCCCCTTATGTTGCATTATTCAAAGCACCCCGGTCCTTGTTTCGAAATTTAGTGTTGACTTGTGTGAAATGACCAAATTACCCTTACAAAAGAAATATTAAAAAAAAACAACTAAAGAGGAAACGAAAAGAATTTTGAGAGGGTGTTTTTCAGTTTTCAAGTCAAAAAAACACACTTGTACTCTCACAATCCGTGCGTGCATTACACAGTAAGTTGTTAGGGGATTTTTTGGCTTTGACTATTTTTCACATGGGGGTTCTTGTTAATTTTTTTTAACACAAGGGTCTTTTTAGCAATTAGTGATTACATATGGATAGTTTTTGCAAAAAAACCATATAAAGATAAATACATTTGACTTATAAAAAATTGTTGTTAGAGGGAAATGTACCTGGATTATGATCACCAAATATGATCTCTGCAATTGCTTTCCCCCCTGCTTCACCGGGATATCCAGCCCACAAAATACCTCCGATCTTCCGGTTATTTTTTGCAAACGAAATATCAACGGGACCTCCACAGAGCAATACCAATATAACCGGCCTTTTAGCAGCCTTTGCAACGCGCTTGATGAGCTTTTGTTGCTTGCCCGGGAGTACCAAGTCTTCTCGATCAAGCTCTTCGCGCTCGCGATCTTGATTCAGTCCCATTACCAGAACCACATAATCAGCCGACTCCGCGATTCTCACGGCTTCACTTGAGTCAATCGATGTGCAGTTGATTGTTTCGCAGCCCTTGTGGAATCCAATTCTCTCGACATAATTCGTTAGTCCTTGTAGTGGAGTAATGGTTTTGCAAGGGCGGCCTGCATAGTTTCCCAAGAGTGTTTTCGAGACATTGGCATTGGGGCCTATTACCGCAAGCGATTCTGTTTTGGATTTGGATAGTGGAAGAAGATTCGCGGAGTTCTTTAAAAGGACAATCCCGTCACGTGCAACTTCGAGTGCCAAATCTTGATGCTTGCGAGTACATATGTTGTTACGGCTAAGGTTGCCGTAAGGAAGTTCACTTGGATTACCGTTGAAAAGTCCTAATCTCATTCTGACAGAGAAGAGGTTGTGAAGGGCTCTGTCTATATCAGATTCCGACACTTTCCCCTTCTCGACTGCTGATTTTGTGTGATTTGCTAGATAGTCGCCGCAATTAACATCCATTCCTTTTTTTTCGTAACAAAATGTCAATAGAATTTTTTTTTTAAACATTGCAATATTGAAGCTATTTTAACTTACCTGCTTTGAGAACATCAGCCACAACCTCTTCGGGCGATTTTGCGTAATGTTGTTTCTCGTAAATTAGAGAGACCGCGTCACAATCGGATGTTATATACCTATTCGTTCAATTACCATTGACGTTAGGCGCGTTAAAATAGAAATATAACTACAAATACAAAAAAATGTATTTTTATTTCAAGTGATAAAAAACTTTACCCTTTGAATCCCCATTTGCCACGAGCGGTTTTCGTTAGTAGATCGTAATCCGCACAATTGGGAACACCATTTACGAGATTATAAGCACACATAATCCCACTAGATCGGCCTTTTTCGACACAACTTTTGAAAGGCGGCTGATATGTATCTGCCATATCCTGCTTTGTGACCTTTACCAAGAAAAGAAAAAAAAAACGATCATTTAAAAATGCATTTAATTGATCTCTTATTTACCGGTAACAGAAATACGTACGTGAGCGTTGAACGTAAATCGGTTATTTCCATCCCAACTCTCCAAATCATAGGCGGTGAGATGCTTGCAACATGCGGAAGCTAGAAGATGGCCGTCTTTGAGGTCACCGCCTTCGAAACTGTCGCCTTGGATTCCTCGAACGAAGGAGACGGCGTATTTACTTGTAAGAAAAGGGTCTTCGCCAGGTGTCTCTTGTCCCCTTCCCCACCTCGGGTCTCGGAAAATGTTGATATTTGGTGACCAAAATGTCATCCCTATTGACTCTCCTTCGTTGTATATTGCTCGAGCCTCCGTTCCGATCACCTTCAAAGTACGCATACTCGTTTGTGTTAGAAAATTAGCATAATGTTTTCCATGTGTGATATTTAGCTGTGTAGAGAATGATTCATATAGCTTTATTATGATATGCAAATAGTATCTAAATCCTCTGTTTATGAAAAAAAAAAATAGTGTTTATTGCGTTGATTAAGTGTAAAATGCAAATAGACCCCTTATACCCGGGCGGCAGGCGTATTTGGGGGTCCGGGGCGAGAATATAAATTGTACCCTTGATAGTATAGGGTTTCGGGGCAGTGCCCCGAATTTTTTTTTTTTTTTTTTTTTTGCATTATGTTTAATGACATTATATAAATAAATATTGATTAATATAAACTTCATTATCAATATTAATGTATATCTAATTTTTTTTTCTATAAAGGAAATGTTGGAGAAGTATGCAATAATTCTGTTTGAATAAAATAAATATTTAAAATTTTATATTTTTTAAACTAAGTTTTAAAAATTATAAATAGAAACATATTTCTTTTAAAAAACAATAGAAGAATAATTTTTTTTAAACAATATATAGAAAAATTAATAAATATTTTTTTTACACATAAAAAATATGTATATATATATATATATATATATATATATAAATAATACTAACATTAAATAAATAAAACTTGCTATTGAAAAATAAATCATATTATAGAAACTAAAAAAATAATACTAAAATTAAATAAATAAAACTTGCTCACGATACAAGTTTTGAGTTGTGAACTTGTGACCATAAAATGCTGGTCCCATAAGTTGAATGACTTGCCTTATCTATAGTTGGTGTACTGATTGATAATCAAACAAAAGAAAATAATGCTGAATTAATTAAATGTATTATATTTCAGGACTAATTAATTTAATTCACCTTGGCGATTCGATACCAAAGTTTCTCGTCGAATGTAGCTGCAGTGAGTATAACTTGCGGAAAACTCGTTGCCGCCCGTATAGTCCCGTTGAATGCGATCCCGGTTTCCACCGAAAACGCACCGGCGACTCCATGCAGAGCCTCCGACCACCACTCGTAGTACGGTATCCCTAGCCTCGGAATGGCCGACGCCTTACTCACGAGCTGAGATATTTTCTCGTCTAAGGTTAGGCGCGTGATTAAGTCGTGGGCCCGTTTTCCGATCGGCAAATCGACGTTGCAGAACCGGTATGACTTTGTCGATGGATCGGACGCGTCGCAAGAGAACGGCGGGAGTGGCTGTTTGTGAGAGCAATTTATATTTACAAGAAGGGTAGAGCATATTATTGATGCTATGAGAGCAATTTTATGGATGAAATATTGATCCCTCATTTTTTTTTTTTTTTTGGAGAAATGAAATTAATCATTAACAAGCAATTGGGGGGTTCTTTTATAAGGAACAAAAAAGGTGAAATACCGGATTTACCCTTTTGTATGAATTAGTTTTTTTTTTTCTTTTTCGGTTTCATTTGGTATTATATGTTTTTATAAAGATTCTAAAATCGGACCGGACTGCTTAATCCTTATCCGATTCGGTACATCTTGAACATTTGAAGAAATTGAAAACCGGTTTGACTGTATTACTTAATTTGGAAAATATTTTATTTAATTTATGGATACGGATAATGCATTCAAAGATTCTAAATGATTTAAATGGGAAGAGATTTGTTTTGACAGTTATGATTATTAAATTTAGTATGAAATATTACCATAATAAATTGAGGAAATTAAACGGTTTCAATTTTGGTTTTGGTTTGACTATTGCAGTACATGGTTCAAGGGTTTGTTTGATGGTACACCCGGTGAAATATATTCCGGATGATTATTAACTGTTGATCTGCACACAACTACACAAATAACTATGTGTATGTGTGTTTAATGGGAAGTTATTTCACCACATCAACGGATAATAATTACCTGATGTATTTCACCAGGTGTAGCATCTCAAAAACCGAGTTCAAGCACAAAGAATGTAAGGTGGTGGTTGATGTTAAAATGTCATGTCCCTCTTCTTGCTGATGAGTTATCCTTGTCACTCTTTAACGTGCAGTACACTTCATCTCTCTATATCTCTCTCTATGTATATTGGGGAGATATGACAATAGTATATATGGTATTCACTTTAACAAAATATGAAATGTTGGAAAGTATTGAATGGAATAATTAAGTGGAGATTAGATCTATTTTCTCAAACTTATGTAATTTAGTTGTGAATGAGAAATTAATAAATTACACATTAAATTTAATTATTTTATGTATGTAGGAAAATAATATAATTGAAAAGACACAAATAAATTTGTGCAGAAAAGATACCTATTTAATTGAACATGTGTTTCGTTTATATGAAAAATTGTAACACATCTTCATGAAATTATTTTTCTATGTGTTGTGACTATTAAACACAACGTTTGAAAATCTAAAATAGATTCGACAAGCCACGATTCGAATCACTTCTATACATACTCTATTCTTTACCCCGATTGTTTTTCTTCTTGTGTATTCTTATTGAGAGTGCAAAGCACATTTGATTGTGTTTGCATCATATTTCGAAATAGGGTTTGAAGAAATGTGTACATTGATGATACAGATCGGTAAATATTTAATTACACAAGATCATGCTTCAAATTTTGAATTCACGTATACGTTACGGTCTATTCATCATGTCTTAGAGCTATCGATCACAACACGGTATATTTGCACATATATTTCGTCAACAAAATATGGTTACAGATGGCCTCACAACATAGGCTCATATTCATGGGGATAAAATGGAGTTTCAGTCGGATAAGTTTCTTCCTATGGAAATTCGGAGAGCTATTAGAGTAAGTAACATATGGGATTGAGTTATTTTCCGAGCATAGCATGGCTTCGTACGCTTTTGTATTGGACATAAGTTATTTGTTATATAATTTGATCACCCTCCTATTGGAGATAATTTTTTTGTTAGATATATATAGGATATTTTGTTGTAGAATTTTATATTCATATCACTCGTTGTAAATGGACTAGGCCCCTTTCGATTTTTATAATGCAAGAAAATATTCTCGAGCTTAGTTAAGTTAAGAAGTGATCTTCTATGCCTAACAATTTTTTTTTACCTATTACATTGATGTTATTGTTATGCTTGATTTAGTAATCAGTGTTCACTTCAACGGCAAGAAGTTGTGAAAAAAGAGAGGAGTATGTTAATGTTTCTGAATCAAGTTTTGTCATAAGTTCGAGCTAATGGATCGGAATGGTTGTTGTCCCGTTGCTAAATGTACAACATTTTACTCAGTCGGGTACTTCGAGTTCAAATTTGATCCATTTGATCGGTGGTACTGCGCCAAGTGTTTGAACGTGGAGCTCCAGAGTTTACGATTTTTTTCTTCTTCAAATTATGCTTATCGATTTTCTCTTTTAGTGTGTTAAAAATGATCAACTAAGTATTATTATTGGGGAGTTCCTACTTCAGTCGAGGATTCCAATCAATTTTTTTCAAAATTCGGACATTTGAGAAGTTTCATACCTGTGGGTTTTTCTTTAGTACTGCAAATACAATTAGCATGAGTGCGAAAGTTGTTGTTGAGTTTGTTGTTGATGACATTAGTTCGATTGGTTTACCTTTAATCTGGGTTCATCTTATTAACGTTTCTTTCATTTTCTTTATATTTTTCTTTCGGTTAAATACAGTTTATACACCTAATGTATACTCTATGTAACACTTACCCCTCTAAAGTATCATTTGTAACACCTACCCCCTCAAGCTCAATTCAATTTATATTTTAAATCCTAATATCTTAAAATTTCCTTTTTTTATTTAAAATAATAATTAAAAGAATAATTAAATTATACAACTAAAAATATCTGCTCAATATTTTAAAATTTAAAAATATTATCTTGTACTGTTGGGTACATATTTAATAAATAACATCTAATTGTTACTGGCCCAATTAATCGAATATATTCATATCGATAAATTTTAAGAAATCAATACATAAATAATAGTAGTTTTAGTATTTAAATTAATTTTAGTTCATTAATTTCTTAAAATATATTTTCTTTCATTATTATACAATATACATCACTTTTTATCTTTTTTCCAACAATTTAATTTTAATTACTTTTCAATTTTTATGATCCAATACTTATTAGATTGTTATGTTTATTATGGTTTAATTCTAAATATAAAACATTTGATGTTGAGGGGTAAGTGTTACATAAGCTATACTTCAAGGTTGAAAAGTGTATTTAGCCCCTTTCCGTTTATATTTATTTTCTTTTTTAGACTTAATGAACGCTTTCAACTTCTAATTAAAACTTAAAAGAAAATCACGATTCTTTCCTTATCAAGAAATAATTTTTTTTTTTCACAATTTGTTTTTTCAAATTTCCTTCAATTAAACGGAAGTTAATAAAATATGTTTTTTACTTTTATCTTCTATTTGCACTAATATTCATAACATAGTATTATATATTTAATAATTTCAAAATTTATAATACAATAATTACTAAAATAGACAATATTATTTAAATAAGAAGACAATATTCATAACATTATTTTTTTACAAATTCAAGTTGTTGCCAAAATATTATTATTTCACAACAAATATTTTTGTTGGAATTTATCTAAATTGTTGTTAATGTGGGTGGTACGATTAACAACAATTAACATCGTCGCCTAATAACATTTAGTCGCCACAAAAATATTTCGTTGTCGATTATTTATTCTTTGGGTATGATTATGTTTTGCTACAAATTTATTTACCATTTACAACAATTTATTTCGTTGCCTTTCATCACATAGTGACAACGAAATGCAATCGTTGTCAATCAAAATGTATTTGCTACAATTTCATGTTGTGGCAAAAGTAATTTTTATTTTCCTACAAAAGAATGTGTTGTGATTGATTACATTAATTGCCAAACGTATAAGATACTATTCACGACCATATTTATCGTTGCTGAATGAGATCCAAAGTATACAAACATATTTTGTTGTGAAAATCAAAACAATTGGCTACAAACTTATATTTTCATTGTTAATATGTAACTATTGGCAACAAATATCACGTCGTAGCTGAACAAAACGTTGCCAATTTGACAATTTCTTGTAGTGAAATATTTTCACCAGTTACAATAAAAGATTCATAAATCAAATAATTTAGTGAGAAAATTTATTATTTTTTTTTTTGTAGAAAAATATAGGCTTTTAAGTAATTCAGTGTGGTTTTTTTTCGCACTTACGCTCAAAATTAGGTTGGAGGTCGAAAAAAACAACATAATTTGTTAATTTGCACCTTGGGAATAAAATAAAAAATGAAAAATGAAATGGTCTCATTAAGTTAAAAATATTCAATTTAAGATGCATTGTGAATGATTTAGTGTGTTTTGAGAGTACAAAGTGTTATTTATTTTTTCCAAGGATATAAAGTGTCAAAATGTTACGTTTCAAGGGTGCAAAATAGGATTAAGCCATTGTTTGCTCAACCGGATAAAAAAAGGTCTATTACAAATAAGTCCATCATGGGCTACTAACTCATAACTAGGTCTAGACAAAAAACTTTTTTACGAAAAAATCCAAACAATGTCCAGAGGTGTAAAAGATTAAAATACCCCCTCACATTTTAAAATGCACCAATTTCATCATTTAATTCAATTTGACGTCAATTTGACCCCAAATTTCACCAATTATTCAATTTTGACCCTTACCCAATTTTGACCACAAATTCGCCCGTCACCGCCGTTGACCGGCGATCTTCGGCGTTGACTTTTTCGATTCTTTTTTCTGCCGCTGATGACCGACGGCTAGCGCCGGTCTCTAGCGGCGTGCGTGGACTTATTTTTTTTTTTTTTAATTTTTTTTTCATCAAATTTTTTTGGCCCGTTTAAACAGTAATATCATTGTTTAACACAGTACTATTGCTATATTACTCTTTAGCAAAGTAATATTAACACAATAAAAATCACTATTATTGTGCAATAGAGTAATATTAATATGTTGACCGTTCAACAAAGTCAAACATAATAAAATGGCAAAATAATCGATATTGATGTGGTTGACAATAATATTGTCAACCACAGTACTATTACTATAACGACAGTAATATTACCATCAACCAAAGTAATATTTTCGTGTTTACAGTAATATAACTATAGTAGACAGTAATATTATTTCGTTAATCGGTCAACAAATCAAACAAAATAAAAAGGTAAAAAAATATATTGATGTGGTGGACAGTAATATTATTGTGTTTACAATAATTTCACCGTCAACGACAATAATATTATTACGCTGACTGGTCGATCAACAAATCAAACAAAATAAAAAGAAAACCAAAATAATAATAATATTGATGTGGTTGACAGTAGTATTATTGTGTTTACAATAATAGTATTGTCAACGA